ACTCATGTTACCGCGCAACGCGCGATTCCCATACTAGTTATTAGAAGGATACTCGTGCAATTCAGCAAAATATATTTCGATTTTAATGTTTTATTTTATTATTTGTCTTAATCGATGTTATAATGCGGTTTTGTGTGGTTTCGAAAAAATGATAACATTTTTATTTTTGAACAAAATATAAATTCTAAAATATCATAAAAATTTTGAAAAAAAATATATCGAAATTAGTATTAAATTAACTATTTAAAAGTCTCGTTCTTTTGTGTAATTTCGTTAATTCAATTTTTTTTATTATGATTCATTTAGAATTAATAACAAAGTAATCTGTTTTTGATTTCATAATATAATTTTGTATAATTAATTATTCTGTTAGAGCTCAATGATTATCCTTATTATTTTTTAGATTTTTTATATTTAAATTGAGATGTTTATCTTGTATTTGATTATGTTTATCTGCAGTTAGTTACACGAATTCAGACATGGAGCTTTAGTAAGTTGTACGTACAATTTATTTATAGCCATGTGCATTAATAAACAATACTCCATGTATAAAAAAATGATTTTTAAGAGTTTTTGTCATAACGATTGTTATAAAAACTAAAGTCAATTATAATAATAAACGATATTTTTGATATTATCAATCATTGTTACGTGTGTCACACACTAATCTCTTATAACAAATAACTTATTTGGTTTGATTGCATGTGCAAATTTGCATGGTGAAAGATTTTTTTTAGAAGGCGTCACAGATTATACCTGGATTAATCTCGGTAAATTATGACTGTAAAAATCAGTCTAGATAAATTAAGTGGTCACAACTATTATATACGCCTGAAATTGAACTATGGGAATATATGATATTCCACCATATCCTCCATACTTCAACAACTACGCCACAACCCTTCTGGTTGAATGTTTTTGTGTGCATTTTACAAAGGCTTGTCTCGTTTTATTTTCATAATTTATAGTTATGTTAACGTTCAAATACATTAAAGCACGCAGATGTTCATAAGCGTCATTGCAAACGTCTAAAAGTGTCATTGTGGACGTCCAAATAGATGATGTGTAACACCCCCATTCCATACATTGCATATAACACATATTTTATACATAGAATACATGTCTTCTCCCACATAGGTCCATAATACAAGAGACTAAAATATACAGCCCAAAAAATTCAAGGTACATGCTCTTGTATCCTAGCATCTATACTCCAAAACGTGGCTAATTGAGATCTTCACACAGCTAAGCACATAGGGAAGTAATTCATATAATGCTCTTTCCCTTATTGTCTTTAACTGCACACATAATTTTTGAAAACACAAAATGAGGGTTAGACATGAATGTCTAGTGAGGTTCCCTTTTATGTAATGCAGGGTGAAGATCACCAAAATATTTATTTCAAATAATTAATCTCATGTAGCAAAACTAAAATTATACTGTTTTGGTCCATCGGGCCTCTGGTTCCAAACCACACTTGGAATATATTTCAATAACCAGGACCAGAGCCCCTCTGGTCTCTCTTCCAGAGCTTCTGGTTCCTCGACTAGAGCCTCTGGTTGTACTAACCAGAGCTTCTGGTTCAAAAGACATGATCAACCAGAGCCTTCTGGTTCAACGTGTAAGCCAACCAGAGCCTCTCTGGTCTGTTTTTCATAAAAATATTCTAAGTATAAAATCATTTTCTTAAAAACTTCTAAAAATATGATTTTGACATAGAAACTCTTATCAATAGATATAGAGTCTTTGGTCCAATTAGTACATTTAGTAAAAACTTGCTCATTCTCCAAATCAATAACCAGAATCCTCTGGTCCAATAATGAAGACCAACCAGATCCCCTCTAGTTCTTTACAAAGAACAACCAGAGCCCCTCTGATTCCTCATAAAAATAATCATTTTGTTCTAAAACACTTTTAACCAATATCAATGGTCATAGGTCAAGTTTTCCCATTCTCAATAACACCAATACTATTATTTCTAATAAGAACAATATCTTTGAGTTCTCAAATCACAAAGAAGTAAGGACTCAAATCTATTGTAGTCTTAAAACATATAATAGTAAGAGCTATAATATTCACACAAAATTGCCACCCTTATATCCAAAGGTACACCTCTCCTTGATATGTCACTCTTATTCCAAAAGACACATCTCCTTGATATGCCACCCTTATTCCAAAAGACACCTCTCATTGATATGTCACCCTTATTTCTTTTTCAAAATCTATGAACAAGTTCGGATGAAGGACCGCAGTCACAACCATCTTATCGAATCCTCGTTCATAGTTTTATCCATAAAATATATAGATTAATTCCAAATGAAAACAAATCAAAATTACAATAGTCTCAAAAGAATATTCTCTATAGTTTTCAACCAACAGTTTTATCATTAAAACCTTTCAAACTCAAGAACAATCTATTCTTTCAATGATTTCTAAAAACATCATGTCCCTTTTAAATCCTCAAAACATGATATTATTTCTAAAACTGTTTTAAAGAAGCAATCTCTTCTTTATCTTTCCCAAATCAGTTTTTAATACTCAAATATATAACAATAACACCTTTAAACTATCAAAATAGTTTTACCATATTTTCTTCAAAATCAATATCAAAACCCAGCAGTTTATATAACAAAATATATAAATGTTTTATTCATCAAAAGCTCACCTTAATGATCACAGATTCTGCAGAATATAAACACATAACAGATCTTCCGTTAGCACAGAATCTTCAAATCACCTTTGTGTATTAATCTTTCTCAATAACTCTTTCACCGTCACACACACTTTCTTTTATCAAAAAGGTTCATTTCTTCCAAAAAATCAAGATAAGGTATGATCTTATTTTTTTCCTTCTTTATATATTTTTCTAACAAAGGCGGTGATGGTTTTATTAAATTAAAACTCTTAGGCAGTAAAGACTTTAACCAATAAAGGTAATTTAGACGGTGAGTTTTTCATTATAAAATTCATGATTTCTTAACCATGAAGGTATAAGTTTTTAAATATTATAATAATGTTTCCCACCAGAATAACTTATCATATATATGCACCACCTCATGTATGCTTCACCCACATGCATTCATGTATAAGTCACATATACATCATGCCATCTTTTCAAATATATACATGCACAATATCATGTTCACATTTCACATATATAGTTCATGCGTTTCTAATTAGACATGCATATTTCACGTAATCCACATATCAAACACGTATAAATTACCTCAACCCAGGTTGTCTCAAACCTGGTTATAACATGATGTTGCATCAAATGCGGCTAAAGATGCCTGTTAAAAGTCAGTTTAAGAGTACACTTAATTAAGATCCCTTGGTGTCTCATCGATTATTTGAGCACATAGTTATATATTTTTACAGGTTATTGAATTGTTCTGTTAGTTAGATGTACACAATAAAATGTTAATTGATTAGTTTAAATTGTTTTTTAAACAATTTTTTTGAATGCTCGTACTCGATCTTCATATCAGTGTTTATTTTACCTTAAAATTAATTTTAGTATATTAAAAAAGATGGACATAATGATTATTGTGTTTTTAATCGTGCTTTTTTATGTAGCAAACCTAAACACGATAAAGTGAAAGTTTAATAGATTTTCATTCATAAAAATAGTTCATGGACTTAACTATTAAAAATGAGAAAGTTTAATGGTTTATAATTCAAAAAAATAGTTCAGGAATTAAACCATTCAAAATGAGAAAGTTTGTTGGGTTTTTTTGAACATTTCTCTTAAAAAAATTAGTAAATAAAAGACACAATTTTTTTAATATCTAATAAGACCGAAAAAGACTTGAGTAGTATATCAAGGCCCCAAACATATATTAATTAACATTGGAGAAAAAAAATTTATGTGAGAAATTAGTCGGTAGTTCATTTTATAGTATTGCTTATTGTTTGTTTGTCTAAGTTTTTTATATATTATCAAACTCTAAAAGTACTTTGCCTAAAAAACATTGATATATATCTCCATCATTCATCTCCCACCGATTTTTTAAATTATCATCTGCATGAATTCTAATTTTGTCTTAAAATATAGTAGATTTCTTGTTATTAACTAAGAAAGCTATATCTTTTAAAAAAAAATAGCAACCATATGAGACGGTGTAACTTATAACTATATTTAGGATTTCAAAGGTACCCTTCTTTTTTCATATTTTATTGACTCTTTATCACCTAATATTGAGTGTATGAATCTTAAGTACTCTTTTATGCCTAAAACAAAAATAATATCTCAAACTATAACAAACATTAAGCTTTTGATTTTTAATATTGATGGTTCTTTACAAAGTTTGTTTTAACCCTAAAGGATTAAAATGTTGATGAAAAACTTAACATGAGGTGACATGATAACTTTATTTAAATATGATTACTTAATTATGTATTTATATAATAATATGATTTTAAATATGATTACTTAATTATATTAATAAATAAAACTGATTAAATATAAAACTTTTATAAAATATGATATAGTTAAAGCTGATTAAATTTGAAAGAGCTTTAAAAAAGAAGGTTGTAACTGTGGTGAAAAACCTCACCAAAAACCTTACGTGAAAAACCTCTCCACTATTTTTGAAAAAGCTTCCAAAAACTATCACCACATCTGATGTAGAGATGGCCAAATGGGCCTGGCCCGGCCGTAACCGCCGGAGGACCAGAATCGGGACCGGTTGAGGGATCGTCGGTTATGATCCGGTTAGGGTTTTTGACGTTTTCTGGGACCGACACCGGTTAAGACCGGGACCGGTTATAGGACCAGGACGTTTTCAGAGTCTGATGCATAAAAACAATGACTGAACCCAGGTATAGATGGGCATTTGAGACTGGTGGGTCTAGACCAGTTAAACACTTTTATAGGACGACCAATCCTTCACGTATTAACCAATTTGACCATCTATACTCATTGCGCAACGGTGGTTATGATCATCGTGGTGGTTATATGCATTCAATATATAAACCAGAATCAACCACTCAGCCTTCCATTAAAAAAGCTGCAAACAAAATTTATTAATCGCTGTAAAACTTATATTGTCAGGCCGGCCACATAACTCAAACATACAGCAATTTGAAATCAAACTGAAGAAGCGGACAGGTATAGTACTCCTCCATTTTCACCAGCTAATTTGGTTTAGAAGGGAGGCTAATAACAAACAATAATAATGATGATAGCACAACCCCGAAGAAGCGGCACAATAAAAATGGCTCCCACCACATTCATCCGGGAGACGGTAAATTGTGAAACCTCTGAGATGGATGTAATCTAGCTAAAATCAGGCTTCTCTGGGTAGGTGCAGCCTGATCTTTGGATGATCACATTGGATGCATAGCACCCAGCTCTCACGCATTCCTCGATCGGCTTCTCCTTAACCAATTGAGACAAAAATCCCCCAACGAACGCATCACCTACATAAATTTAAGATTATCAATCTATTTCATATCCCATGAATATTGATGAACAATTTCCATTGAGAATGACTCGTGTCATGCAAAATGTAACATTTCCTTTTTTGGCAAGTTGCCAAGGTAAAACAACTCCCTCTGTCTGATATTTTTCTATTTTAGTTTACCCCAAGTGTCCACTTCCAAAAGTTCTCTTCCCAGTTCTACTGTGAATTATGAGAAATACAATTAAAGGGATAAATTTGTTGCATGATGGCACAAACCTGCTCCATTGGTATCAACCAGTTTCTCCTTTGACAAGAAGATGACGGGATATGTTGAAACTTTTCCATCCTGAGCAACTACGACAGGATCAGCACCCTGAGTGATCACAGTAATCCTCTTGTGTGTCCCTGATGCTTTAGGCAGCTGGGAGATCTTAATCGCGATCTCCTCCACATTATCAGTCTGGAAGAAGAGCAAAGACCAATCAGACATTTTTCAGAAACATGAGATCTTTAAACCAATGTATCATGTTCAACCACCAAATGGTTCTTACCTCCCAACCATGAACCTTTGAGAACGTTCTTGCTTCAGTTTCATTTCCAAAAACATAATCCACATACCTGCATTATTGATATACAATAAGGATGGGAAATTTCAGATTGTGACAAATAACTTGATAGTGCAACAGCATAAAAATAAGGAAGATAAAACTCACAATAAGGCTTTCTCTTGAGCATCCTTGAAGAATTCACAGATGAATGGTGCAGAGAGGTTCATCGTGAAAATCTACAAGTTCAACAGTGTCAGAAAGAAGATCCTGGTTGATTGCTCGCAAAAGCTGTCAGCGGAAACTCAGTCATATGAGCATTGAATCATTTATATCACTACCTTGTTGGTTGCAGCAGCATGCTCAGCTACAAGCTGAATTGATTCCGTGGACACCGTAAGGAAAAATCCAGCAATATAGATGTACTTGGCCTTTTCAACTGTCCAAAAAGATTGGAAGTAGTAAGTTTGACAATGCATGGAAACATGGGAATCATTAAATCTTAAGTCGGGAAGCAGTACCGAGTGCCCAATTTTCTGGACGTTTTAAGTGCTCCGACTTGTAGCAGTTGGCAGCAGACAGGTTGGCAATAAGTGACCTGGTAAACGGTAAATAGGTATAATTCAGATGGAGGATGTTAAGAAATGCCAAAGCGCATAAATTGCCACTTTGAATCAAGAGCAGGTGATTCATGAATGGGGACAAATAGACAGCACACAACCTTCTGACTAATTGAATAAACCAATGCAACATGCATAATAGAGCTAAAAACTAGTTAATGGTCAAAAGCAATTAATCACCAAAATCAATGCAGATGGTGTTTACCAGTGTAAGAATGCATAATAAGTAATTAAGTGGGGTAAAAGTGATGTAGACTCATTAAAGAACAAGACATACTGAAGCATTTGGCATGTCCGAACCATGGTATACACAAAATGCCAGTTAAGGCAAGCAAATGCAGAAAAGAGCAAGAACCTTTGCAAACTAGTAACATGATTCTTAAACATCGACTCGCATATACGAAAAATCACATTTTCGATTGATTGTAGTTTTTTGTATCTTTCAAGAAAATCACGAAAGCAGGGCACAAATATAATGCTACTACCATTAGGTTTTAGACAAGATGAAAATGGATTCTTAGAGGAAGCAAATATTAGTAACCGCATCAAATGAAAGGTTGTAATGAGAAAAATATAAGACCTGCACAAAATGATACAACAAGATATTTTATAAAGTTGAGCAGCATACTTGGGAATATAAAGATATTCACTAACCTCTCACCACCAACAACACAAACAGCGCATGTGCCGGTTGGTTTAGTTTCATCCTCATAATAATGCACCTGATATCATTATACAAGTGATTCATTAGCTTATTAGGATATAAAACTAAGAAATTACAGGCCAAGCAAAAGCAAGAAGATTAGTACGTTAACTCCAGCACTTTTTGAGTTCTTGGTCATTTCCTCCCCATACTTGTCCTTTCCGATACAACCCATATAACTTGTTGCACCAGGGATTTGAAGCATCCACTGCAGACCAGGAAAGAAAAAGTTAACTAATGTTTCAATTTCATAAATCCAAAAGAAACTAGTCAACTACCATGCAGATACTTACCTGGGCAACTCGGATGGAATTCTGAGTAGCACCTACAAAAATTCTTAGAAATTAGTACCGGCTGCCACGTTAACAATTTGAATTCTTGTATAGATATAAGGGAGTGTACACACAAAAACAAAAGCATATAGTCACCTCCAGCAATGTACTCTACATTGTCTTTAGCAGCCAGTTCATCATACCTGGAAAGAAGCCAAACAAGTACAAGCCAACGAAAATTAATTTGAAATTACCGAAGGCCCAGCGGTACCCGATAACCCAACCTTCTTGAAGGTCAAGGGTTCAGCCTCACCACCAAAGGTGAGAAGTGTATGAGCTTTGCTTTATATAAATATTATGTACTTCAAAAAAACTAACGTGAAAATCGACAAAATAGCAAGAAACATGTAGCATCCCTTCAGATATGGTTTGGGCTAGGGTGTTGAGTGTTAACAATTCGAGCATTTATTGAGCTACTCGAGCTAGATCTTAGTAATTCGCACACACTAGCCTAGTAAATCCCACCCAAAAGTAGGGTTTGGGGAGGGTGAGATGTATGCAGACTTGACCTCCACCTTTATGGGTGCAGCGGTCATTTCCGTGAAAACCCCCAGCTTGTGCAAAGTGAGGGAGAAAACGAAAATAAACATAAAAGAACATTAGAAAAAACTTGAAAACAAGAAAGGCAATGCTGCATAATTGAATACTAGTTAGAGGTAAGCAAACAAAATCTAACATCTAACAGACAAGCAAAAAAAACATACAAACAAAAATTTTAGTCCTAATGTAGAACTCGGAATTGTTAAATGATCATCAAGCTCAAGCTCGGACTCTATTTTAAAGAAAATTATTCAAAGCCAGGTCAAGCTCAAACTTAATATACTTTCTCAAGCCGAGTTCGAACAGCCTGCTACTCTACTCAACTCGTCAACACCCCTGGTTGTGATCACAAAATTAATAGATCCTTGTAAACCCTTGGAGGGGTGTCAAAAATTTCCAATCAGAAAGATCGTAGTTCAGATAAATCAAGGCAATTATCCCTATTTTACATCGTATACCCAACAAAACTTAAAAGGTGAATGTCTCCTTCAACAATTTCCAGCAAATTATCTCATCAAGCAAAATAATATCTATAATGCATAAGATAATGTCATCAATGATTAATGAGAAGGCACTTACATGGGCAAATGCTTGTCTTCAGCAAGAATCGCGTTATTCGGCTTGACATCGTATCTATAAATTCAAAAGAAAAAAGATCAAGGCCAATAACTTTAGTCCTCCTATGATCACAAAACATTAGTTGATATTCATCATTGATAATCAAAAAGATTAACATCCATATCTATCATATATTATATTGCTCTGACCACTTGCGGAAAAAAAAACTATTTTTGCAAGTTGAGGGAAGACAAGCTCCAGAAAACTCCTAACGTTAATCAAGGCTGGCTCAAAAATACCTCTAGCGTAAGAAAAACAAGACCAGCAACTAAAAGGGTCAACTATGAGCAAGGAAACTGAATCATACAAAATTAGAGTTATTTGGTCTTTGTAGTTTATAGATTCACGTTTGGATCCAAAACTGATATAAGTCTAGTGGTATACGCAAACTCATAGAAAGAAAGGCAATGATCCTGTGTTAAATCAGCCAAACATTTTGATTTTCAGTCGAGTTAAACATTTAAAGATCCGAAATTCCTATAATACAGTTAGATTTAGGGAGAAAAAACCGTGGTCCTAGAATTCCTATATAAAAATTACATGTTTTAAAGTACATGTCTAAAATCCAATAACAACAGAATCGATTAGTTTGGTATTTCTGCAAGAATTGGGCATGTTCTAAAAATCAGACCCTATGCGATAAATCTGAACTCCAGGAGAAGGTTGATTCTGCTATTTAAACTTGGATTCGCAACTCCTATCTAACACGATACATTTCTTAATAGATCAAGAACCCTAGATCTAAAACCCCGAAAAAGGAACACCCCCTCTACTGGCGAAACTAAATTAAATTGAAAGTTCAACGATGAATCTACACTCAATGCAAAGTGATTTGAACAAATAACACTAGATCTCTTGCTAAAAAACGACATAGAAACAAAATTATTCCTAGATCACAAAGAAATGAAGCCAGATCCGAACAATCCCATCAGTTTTATACCAGATATAAAACATGAAAGAAACAGAAATCGCGTAGAGTGAGAGGTTTACTTCTTGAGGAAATCTTCGTCGACTACCGCTGAAATGTCGAGAAGAGGGTTTCCCATCCCCAATAGGATTCCTTCATAACCTGCCATTTTACAAAGTAAGATCTACGACAGAAGTGCAAAGAAGTATATGCAGGATCTGAGGAGCGAGACGAGGATGGAATGGAGGGGAGTGAAGAGGTTTTATAGTGTGGGTGGGGGGGTTGGTAAATGTCGATACAAGACTCACCAACCCTATTCGCAGATTTTCAAGCAATTTAATTTATTTTAAATTTAGTTGATTTTATTCTCAATATATCGTTTTTTAATCCATTTCAGTGTTATTTTAATACCATCTATTGGATAAATTCTAAAAAAAATCAACAGACTATTGATTTTGATTGATTAATTTCTTAAATTATTATGTTAAATGATACAATTTTTAATTTTTTAAAACATGTTGAATACATTTTTATGACTTGTAAAACAGGTTAATATGATAAAAATTTGAGAAAAAGTCTAAAAATAAACTATCTGATTTTGAATGATTAAATCACTATTTTTTTAACAAATAAATCCCTAAAAAATTTCTAAATCTTTTTACCAAATAAAGTTTTGAACTTTTTTTGAACAAATAAATCTCAAACTTTTTTTAATAAACAAAATCGTGAACTTAATTCTAATCAAGTAAATCCAAAACTTTTTTAAAACAAAATTATGAACAACAAAATATATACAATTTTATCATCGACAAAAAAGTACAATGAACCAATTAAACAAAAAAAATTATACCATTTCCATTACGGGGAGTGCTAATGGCACCCTTTATAGGGGGTGCTGAAGTTAGTTTATTTCTTCTCCTTAAAATCTTATTTCAGTCGTATTTCTATTAGAATAAATAAATAGGATTTGGTTTGTTAAATGTTTGGGAATCATGCATTCTTTAAAATCTATAAAACATCAAATTACTCTAATAATATATTATATTTAATTATTATTATTATTTAATATACATATATATTAATTAAGTTATATTATATAATTATATATATAATATAATATAATATTTTTACTTATATTATTATTATTATTTTATTATCTTCAATTATGTTATAAAGAGAGAGGGGGTTACTTTGTAAACCTCCTATTTCATGCAAACAATATAAATTACAATTAATCAATAGAATAATTTTATGTTTTTCTCTTTATTTTTAATGAATAAGGGTATGAATGTCATTTTAATTTGTAATAGATAATCTTGATAATATTTTAATTGTTTTTAAATATGAAAGATTAAATAGAGTAACTGTTTTTAAGAAAACCGTAAATCAATTGATTTTAATATATAATTATTACCATTAATATTTTATATTCTTTTATTAAATTAAAAATATTACATCAATTACAAAGTCTATTTGTAATAATTTATTTCTTATGAAATTATTCATTTCCTTGTCACAATAACAAAAGAATCGGTATTTTTTCAATTCACAAGTAGTTACTGAATTATTAATAATATAGTTGTGATGTTTTCCAGATTTTGAGTATGTTGTTTTCGTAAAACAAATATCATTAATGAAACCATGTTATACAGTTTTCAAAATGTTTCAAAAATAAAACTAATTTCATTTTAGTTAGTAACCATGAAACTACTTTCATTAATGAAAGAATAGTATTGTGGGCTTCAAATATTTTATTGACTGAACCATGTTTGTTTTCATTAATAAAACCAATTTCATCTTGGCTATAAATCATGAAACCGATTCCATTTTGGTCAGGAAACATGAAACAAATTTAAAAATGAATGAAATATCATTATTAAGTTTTTGAAGTGTTTCATTGACTGAACAATATTTAGTTTAATATGTAAAACCGAGTTCATCTTGGTTAAAAATCATGAAACCGATTATATTTTGGTTAGAAAAAAATTCAACAAATTTTACTGCCGAAATAATGTCATTCAGTTTTTGGATTGTGGAGTCCACGAAACAAATTTCAATGATGAAACGAATTTCATTAACGAATTCATATTTTTGGAAAATGTTTCATTGACTGGACCATATCTGGCTCAAATTTCATTATGCAGACGAACAATGAAACCAATTTCACTAATGAAAAAAATTAGATACAATTTCAAAAATGTTTAATTTCACTGACAAAAATACAGTTTCCAAAATGTTTTTATTGATGAAACCAATTTCAAAAAATGAGACAAACAATGGTTTGTCAGTTTTGTCATTTCTTGATTAAATATTAAACCTTTTATTTTATTTTACCTTCCTAATATAACACATTTTAATCATGACCATTGATCAAGAAAATAGATAAATGAGATTGGTTGTAGGGTTTGCACAAGAGGGGATGGTTTGTATTTGATCTCTCTCTCTCTCTCTATATATATATATATATATATGTGTGTGTGTGTATTTACTATTATATTACATACATATATGTATATATATTAAAGTCTTATTGTAATTATTTTAAAAAACTTGAAATAGTTTAATCCAAAAATTAACTTTTATGATTAATTAGTTTTTTAATTGACGGGATATTTATAGAAACCATTTGTATTAAATTTAAATAAGAAAAAAGTTCAGAAAATTAAAGAAATTGTTCAATTTTGGATTATTAAGTTCTTTTTTTTTATTATTGAATAAAATGTTGAACTATTTTTATGTTGAATGATTAAGTCGTTGCAAATTTTTTTTGAATAATTATATGATTGAGTTTTTTAGAAAACTAGTTACTTAAATTATTTTAACTTTTTTAAAATTATATAACTTAGAAGTTATTTTTATAAAATGACTTGAAAAATGTAATCGGTTTTACAGGAAGTGGTATTTCAAATTTCTTGAGTTATTTTAATATTTTTAAAACGATGTAACTAAAAGATTGTGAATAAAATAAAATAAAAGTGTTAATATCGTGCAACTCGTTGAGTCATAGTTATTTACAAAAAAAATCATCCTTACATGTATTTTTTAATAAATAAATGATCAAACTTTTAAAAATTGATTATTTGGATCATTTCAATCAAAATATGCTACATATCATGGCTTGTTTGCCTTACAGATCAAATAAGTGGAAAAACAATTTTTAAGTCACGGTTTTCCTGATTTTTAATCTTATCCAGGTAGTTGTTAAATAAAAAAAATTATAATACGTAAAGATCTAATAATATTTTTATTTTAATATGTAGCTTGGTAATATAAAAAAGGTTATTTTTAATAAATAACTATTAAAAGATTACGTTTTTAAGGATCGTTATTAATATACTAGAAGCATACTCGCGCAATGCAGCGAGATACATCATGATTTTAATATTTTATTTTATTTTTTATCTC